GTTTCCGCCAACATTCTACTTTCTAGTGGTTTCGTTATTAATGTTTTCATTAGTATTTTAAATTATAGGAATGTGCATATCTATAAAAGGAAGTGAATTGTTACAGTATGTATACAAACACTGAAAATTCCATTCTGTATAATCACTGATGTTTGGAATAAAGTGATCATTATCAATATTTATGCCGATTTCAATGTTTTCCCTACTTATAAACCAGTTAGTAGTATTAAAATCATGGGTCTTGTCGACATCAGGATTGACTTGGATCGTTAGAATTTGGTCAAATAGACTCCACTGTTTACGACTCTCGACTGGGGCTTCAGGATATCTTTACAGTGGCCATCAGTGAGCTGACGACTCATATTTGGATTATGGAGATAATAATGAGCAGCTGTGACCAATGGAGTCGACCATGTCAAGATTAGTTGGATGCTCATCAAAGATAATGATGAATGTAGACCTACCTATATTACAAGCTGATAAATTTAGAATTCATGGGTTGCAGAATCCCAGCCCAAGTGGTAGAGGGTTCAACGAGCGTGGTCGCGTTACTTAAAGGCCCTGGATTCCATTCTTAGTGGGGTGATGTGTGTGTGCACTGTTGAGAGGCTGCAAAACAGGACGAAACAGTTGTCCACTACTCCCTTGTTTTCAGTGATTCTCCACCTGATATTATCTAATAAACTGAAGTTAGGAGTGTATTGCTTACAATTGAAATTTTATGAAATTTTCGATATTTAACTCCATATAAATTTGTTTACTGGGTATATCACCAATGCAGTTTTCAGTAAAACATTTTATTCATAATCATACCGGCTGTGACTGCACAACTTCAAAACTTGATTTTTGTAGTTTAAATTCTTCCTCTCGATTTGCCGTAAGAGTAGTTGGAATTATTAGATACAAAATTGTTATATTGCGACCTAACAAAGGCTCGGGAGTGGTGCTGATGGATAAAGAGGACTACATTGCAAAGATGAAAGCTGTGTTAAATGAACCGTTGAGGTTCAAAATTGACAAAATTGCCAGAAAGATAAGACAGATGCAGTCGAGAAACGTATTAAAGACGCACTGAGAGATCATCTAAAGAAAAAATTGATTGCCACACATTTATGGTCTTCCAAAGATACACAATAAGGTCCTCCTGAGTCCCATACTTTCGATGACCAACTTGCCCCAACATAAGGTGGCACGTTGGCTTGCGGAGGAGTTGGAACCTATTCGCCAACAGCTAGGCGTGTACACTATGAAATATTTATTTCATTTCTCTGAAGTGTGAACCACATGAACGTTTTAAATAAGTTCATGGTGTCATTTGATGTAGCCTCCTTGTTCACAATGATTCCAATCAACGAAACTATTGAGATCATTTGTCAGTAGTCTGATCTCCCACTCCAAGAGTCGGAATTCAAACGCCTACTGCTTATGTGTACCATGGATGTGCGATTTATAATTTGACAACACTCTTTACCGCCAAACAGACGGTGTAGCTATGGGCAGTCCACTTAGCCCTGTTTTAGCAGATATATTCATGTCCAACCCTGAAAGAACAAAGTTGAAGCATGCAATCGACGAAACAACTTCCTACTGTCCTACTATGTTGGTGAAACATTTATAGTAGGCAATAATGAAAGTCATGCTTCACACTGACTCAGATTATTCAATGATGCACACACCAAATATTGAGTTTACTATGGAACATGAAAGTGACGGAAAGTTCCACTTCCTCGAAATCGCCATGGAACGCCTAGAAGACGGTAGTCTTCAAAAGTCAATTTATCGAAAGCCTACATGAAAAGGACAATACTTACATTTTAATAGCTTTTGTCCAAATAGCTTCAAATGCGGTCTAGTCAAGACTCTGTACTATAGAGCGAGGAGAATATGCTCTATAGAGAAATTAGAGGAAGAATTAGAGTTTCTTGAAAAGATATTGAAGAGGAGTGGGTACCCTCAAAGGTTCATCAACAAGTATGGAAGATCTGAAGTCACGAATGTAAAACAAATCACAATGGGTAAAAAACCAATCTACATTCAGCTTGATTATAAAGGTGAAAACATTGAAGCGATGATCAACAGAAGGCTGAGTACATCACTAGCCATAGCCTACCCTGCAGCTAAGTTCGTCCCCGTCTGTCGAACAACTTGCTCTTTGGTGCAATAAAAAATCGATAGATATCCTTCTCATGTTAACGCCAATTGTTTATACAAATTTACATGTATCTGCGGGAGCAGTTACAATGGAAGGACAGAAAGAAGGGCATATCTACGGTTTTCTGAACATGTACCAAAAAGCTTACGTCTAAAGGAACAAATGCTTTAAACAGTGCCGTCGCCAGGCATCTCCTCGACACGGGTCATAAGGTGGAAATCGACAAATCCTTTAAAATTACCAATAGACAAGGGAGCTCCATTTTCTTCAAGTTTTCCGAAGCAATTTCTATCAAACGCTTGAAACCAGATTTGTATACAGAAAGAAGCAGTTATTAGTCTTCCCTTGCCCTGGTAACTGGATTTCTTTATCCTCTCATCTGATTACGTAATCTTTGTCTTTAACCTCACCCTCCCTTTTATAATCTGTAATTTTGCTTGTCTCTATGATTTGAGTTCAACTCAGTACATTGTTACCTAACTTACTAGTCACTATGCATCTAACGCACATCTCATCTTTATTATGTAACTCCTTTACCATTGTATGCATACATTTATTTTGTTTTAACTTGAACTACCTGTGTAGAAACTATATGAGCGCAATTTTCTCAGCACTGTTCACTAGTTGTGGAACTTCCTGTCAACTGACAACATGTAAAATTTGCAAGTATGTTAAAACGTTTCTGTACTTAAACCTCATAATTTATTTAGGCTGTAAGCAGCAGCTGATGAGAAGCCGACGAAATGAACAAAGATGGTACCATATTATTCTGCACAAACCACACTGTTGTTCTTGCTTTATTCAAATTCATCAAGGAAAATCAATGCATGAAGTTATTTAGGATTCTCAACCAGGCGGGGATAAAAGTGACATTCACACATAAAAACTCACTTAGAAAGAAATTCTGCGGGTTAAAGGATGCAGTGGAGTCGATCAAACAAAATAATCTTGTGTTATCCACTAGCCTGAAATTTCTATGAGTTTGAGTATGTAGAGCAAAGCAGACCAAATATTTCCTCCACTACCATTACAGTAGCACTACACGTAAATAACAGACACGCATGCAATAAAATAGGACAAGGTGACAGTCCTGAAGCTGCATTTATCAAATCAGAGGGGAATTCTCGTCACAGAAATGATTCACACCTGTTCTGGATATCCGGAAAATTCTACCACTTCTACGATAAAAGGGGAAGAAGAAACAGAACTATAAATATCAGGTTTCGAAGTTGCGTATACTTACAATTAATGATATGACTATGAACAATAAATTCTGTTCGAAACTTTGTCATGTAGTAAGTAATACTGTCTCACTACGTTTGAGGTATGCCCAATAAACTAATCCGTTTGGAATAACATACTACCACAATGCTCAAAGTTTACAAGTATATTAATTTCATCTTTAAAGAATGGAACATTTCAATGAATACTGGTAAGTAGACCGCCTCTGAGGTGTGGACTTCCAGGCTGGGGTCCTCGGACGGTAAAAATCTATGGTTGGAAACAATTGGTGACATGGCTCAAAATCGTTCTCAGTGGCGCAGATGCATCCACTCCTTGTGACTTATGATCTCCAATGAAACTGTTTTGTTTTCTTTATTACTCCTTTGTCTCACATCTCTGCTCACTGTTTCTATTATGCTTTTCTTGTACTTTCTTCTCTTGCTTCGCGTGCTACACGGAGTGTGGCGACTTGAACTTCGCACATTTGTGCAAGTTCTATGTCGAAAACAGACAGACAGACCTCCTCTACATTTAAAAATTGCACGTGTCAGATGATCCACAACGGAAAACTCACTGAGGTGATTGAAGATTGAATACAAGAGTAAGCCAGGTTGGCTGCCCAACCATAACCTAGGATATTTCTAATCATGATGGAGTGGATTATTCGACAGACTGTGAGTTAGAAGTGAGAAGACGGTAATTCTCTGTACCATTAAGAAGACTCTAGAGGATATGGATTTCACAGATAGATGATTTATGCTTAGTGCCACACAAAATCGAAGACTTGCAGACGTAGAGGATAGCAGCGAAGACAGGACTTCAAGTGAAAACAGAGAAGACGGCGATGATAAAGATAACCAGTTACCACCAACAGCAACAACAATCAGCACAAATCACCGTCAACGGGTTACTTCCTTCCTTCCTTCCTTTAACTAGGAAAAATTGTTTCAACCATAGCTAGCGGAAAGGATAAAAATGTCACAGCTGGCCATTCAGAATAGTAAAGGCAAGGTATATCTTCATCAATCTTCACTCCACAGAATAAACAACAAGATTCGGGTTTCCAACACAAATGTTTAGCCAGTCAACTCTTCTATGTGGGTCAGTAACTTGGCTTAAACACCATCAAACGAATTTCCAATAGTTCGCTGCATACATTTATCAACAGCTGCCCACTTCGCTGCCTCCATTTTGAAAAACAAGTGGTTAAAAGTAATCAGCAACAAGAAACTCTGGGAACGAATTAATCAAGAGCCGATTGTTCAACAAATTTCTCGAAGAAAATGTAGATTGATCGAACACATGCTTAGCAGGCCATCCAATAACATCGCGCGCCTAATCATCGCTTTAGTTGTACCCGAAGTGGGAAGAGACGAATGGGTTATCGTTGCAGCGAGGTTGGCATAGTGAAGATCGTGTGAGGATGCGATGTGAGAGACTAATTGGGACAAATGTAGTCCCAGCTAAAGAGGACCACGGTAAGTAGGACACAGTGATGGAGACGTGTTATTGAAGCCGTTTTTTGCAGTCGGAACTCAAAGAAACAATAATAACAGTAAAATACAAGATATTGTGGATGAAACTCCAACAAGCTTTTTGAATGTACAAAAAATATGTTTATTTAATCACAGGAAAATTTATTTGATAGAAGTACATAGTGATACGGTACTACTTATTAATGACTTTTCATGTACAATTTATTTCTCCTAATCATATGAGTTTGATAATATACCCATAGATGAATTGATGCCCTGATCAAGTCTATTCTATCACAGACATGTGTAACTGCCCTTCAAAACTCCACAGAACAGTGTTTAGTGCTAATCGGATGTATAGAAAAGAATTTGTAAGCGTATCGCACACAGGCTTATACACAGGCTTATCTTAAATATTTTCTGTTGCGAATATTTTCAATTCCAACTTTAATTTGTTTATAGTCTTCAATAATTTTACAATCTCTCTGTATTTGTAACTCGCACTTTTTGCCTGCACATTTCGTTGCACCGTCGTTCTCATGACTACTGATATCATTACTAGTAGGCATTGAAAATAAATCAAATGAAATGTTATTTTTCAACCAATCAATTTGATTTTCAAATTTAATCGGATCGTAGCTTCTGGTATCTGTTGTAGTTTTATTGTTAATATCATTTTTGCATATACAGCATTTATTGGCATCACTTACACTTTGTAGGTTTTTCATTAAACACATTTCTGATTCCCTGGATCGGGCAACTTTCACTAAGTCAATATACTTTGGTGAAAGACGATGAATCAATGGGCCGATCTGTTCATTCACATGACTAATGTAACGATTCCGTAGCATACTTTGATACCATACAGGATAGATAGACCATTTACCATTCGTTTTTTGACACAATGCCCAATCACTTAAATTTAAATAAATATAAATCAATACATCTTCCCAAGATTGTTTTGCACTACTTAATTGATAATGCACCAGCGCTCGTGTCATGTAAAACTCCGATTTGAATGGCGCCAATTGAATACAGTAATTTAAATGGTTCAATGCTGCTAACCAGTCGCTTTCTTTGATTTTTTGCCTACTTAAATAATAACATGCTAAACAAATTCTATGATTAACTGATTTAACACTCTCTGGAATGCTAGAAACAGTATTCTTTGTACAGGTACATTGATTTGAAGCATCCAATAACTGATTGATAATCACCTTAGCCTTTTCATACAGCCTAAGCGCTTCTTCATGATGATTCATTTGATACTGGCAATCACCGAATAAAATTAGCAATCGATAATTATCGGGGTCAACTTTTAAAAGTTGACAGATTAATTCACTAGATTCATGATATTCACCTTTGGTCAGTAATTGAATTGCATAACAAGTGATTGTGAGAAATAATTGATTTTTACCTGACGCATACAATGACTGATAGTTGTCGGATGATTTGTTCTGATTAATATTGTTGTTATTATTATTATTACTTATCCCATCCAATAATTCCATGCCTTGTAGAATACAATCGATCGATTCATCTAAACGCTCGAGTTTCCTTAATATTGCTCCTTTATCAAAATACAATGAAACACTTTCTGGTTGAGCATAAATAGCCGTGTTGATTGATTGTAAAGCGTTTATGAAACGATTTCTTAACATTGAGGCGACTGCTTCTTCTTGTTTGCATGAAGACAGACTCTCTAATTGTTTCAACAGGTTTAAACTGTTTGTGTGTACTGGACAATGGTGAATGGCTCGTTTAACATCATAGTAAGCTTGAGTGATTGCTTGGCCGGATTGTTTGAATAAGATTTTAGCCTTAGCGTATAACAGGTCTGATATTTCTTTTAAATAAATAATAATGAAAAGCAAAAAAAAATCAATAAAACGTGAATTAAAATCGTAAAAATGGATTAAAACAACTTTTTTTCTTCAATCCTTCACCTTCTCAGTGGAATGTAGGGCTTCAAGCTAGAGGGCTTGAAGTTTCCGTAGCAGTAGTGTTTATTTTTACCGGATGGGGTTGCTAGCCTCATGCTCAAACTTTCCTTTCTTTACCAGCTTTTTTCTATTACTGGCTTAGACAGGTAAAGGAGTGAATGGGCCGAGAGGTTGAACCCAGGACCACATGCATGATCAACGAGCATTCTATCGCTGTGCCGCCAACGTACACGGATTGAAAATAGCGAAAATAAAATGCAAAATCGTTAAACAACTAGCAAAGAACTGCAAACTCCCATTACATATTATATTCCCTTCGGTTCCTAGTGGAACGTTGAGTTCCAGCTACACATCTCCACTTCACTGTCTTGTATACAGTGCAGTCTAGCTGGCTTCATGATTGTGCATAAGGTTTCGTTTCTTCTTCGCTTGATCTCCACTTTGTTAACCTCGGACCCATGCTTAATTCATCATTTCCCATTTGGGTCTGCCTAGCATATCACACCACTCAAAGGTCTCTTCAGCATACATCTAATGCACCTGTGTTTCATCCAACCTATTTACTGGGTAGTTGGTTCTCGGTTGTTGGATACTGAACATCCTCTCTACTATCCAAAACTTCTCTTTGTTTTCCTGTGAAGTGAAACTAGAAGAAATTTCATGGTCATTCAATCACTAAATACAAAAATATAGCCCAGGCGTCGTGTGAAGAAGACACATGCAAGAAAAGTGCTTATAAGCCTACTCAACAACCTGTAAATAAACAGTAATTTGTTATCAGTATTGATTATTACGTGCGTCGGTAGCATAGCGGTTAGGATGCTCGCCGACCATGCACATGGTCCGGGGTTCGATCCCCGGCCCCAACACACATTTTTACCTCGCTAAGCCAGAAATAATGCTGGTAAAGAGGAAAGGTTAAGCATGAGGCTAGCAACCCCATCCTGTAAAATTAACACTGCTACAGAAACTTCAAGACACTGGCTTGAAGCCATATGTTCCACTGGGGAACGTGAAGGAAAAACAAATTGATTATTACACCTGCATTACTTTTCTATTGCCTTCAGTTTTTTGCAGTTTTAGTATTTCTGCTATCTTTTTTACCTACTTGCAAAAGAAGATACAATCCTGATGCTAGATAGTTGGAGACAATCGACCACAGGAAGCCTTGCTTGACCTAGGTTTCGAGCTAGTTGGCACTCATCAGTCTGTCAGCAAGGCATATCTACATGCTTGAAGGGACTCGCATCCCTTCTGAGATTCGAACCCGCGTTACCCAGTGCTGCAGTCAGAAACCTTACCACTGAGCTATTCGGCCTGGCGACTGACCTCATGTAGGACCGCATTGGACTGGTTGACGTGGGTTCGAATCTCAGAAGGGACATGAGTTCCTTCAAGATGGTTGCAGATATGCCTTGCTGACAGACTGGTGAGTGCCAACTAGCACGAAACCTAGGTCGGGGCAAGGCTTCCTGCTGATTGCCTTCAACCATCTAACATCAACAATTTTAAATTGTTCACTGTGATGGCGAGCTACTTATAATGGTAGCCACATTGCAAACCTGAATGATAGAATCCAGTCTGCAGCAAATAAAGGACTAGACACATCACTCTAGTTACTAGTGTCCAATTAAAGTATACAATCGTGAAAAATTTCATTCTGTATTGTTATTATTATTGTTATTGTTTGGTATGACGTGTTTACTACTGTGGTGGTGCAATACAGACAATGTATATTCCACCGGAATATTATTCACACATATTCCCACAGTTCAATACAGCATTAGTAATAGAACACTACATGTGGATTTGAGCATTCTATGACACGTCGTTTAATGTAGTAAACCAAAATCACACGCTCAGAGAACTGGTCGGCAAATATAAACTGTATAGATATAAATAGCTGTTTGAAAACTTTGTCTTCGGTGTCTCACCTTTTGCGGTTAAACTACTGTATTATAACGTACTGTGTGCTGACCAGCATTCAACATGCTTCAAAGTATTAATTAACAAACTATTGAATTTGAATAAAACAAGAACAACAGTGTGGTTTGTGCAGAATAATATGCTACCATCACTGTTTATCTCGTTGGCTTCTCATCAGCTGCTACTTACAGCCTAAATAAATTATGAGATTTAATTATAGAAACGTTTTAACATACTTGCGAATTTTACATGTTGTCAGTTGACAGGAAGTTCCACAACTAGTGAACAGTGCTCAGAAAATTGCGCTCATATAGTTTCTACACAGGCAGTTCAGGTTAAAACAAAAATAAATGTATACATACAATGGTAAAGGAGTTACAATATAAAGACGAAATGTGCGTTAGATGCAGAGTGACTAGTAAGTTAGGTAACAATGAACTGAGTTGAGCTCAAATCATAGAAACAAGAGACAGGCAAAATTAAAGATTATAAGAGGGAGGGTGAGGTTAAAGACAAACATTACGTAATTAGATGAGAGAATAAAGAAATCCAGTTACCAGGGTAAGGAAAGGCTAACGATTGCTTTTTTTCTGAACACATAAAGGAACAAACTCTTATAGTAGCGCTACTACCAGACATCTCCTCGACACAAGTCATGAGGTGGAAATCAAGAAACCTTTTAAAGTTATCAACAGACAAAGGAGCTCCATTCTCCTGAAGTTTGCCAAAGCAATTTCTATCAAACGCTTGAAACCAGATTTATGTGTTCAGAAAGAAGCAGTTACTAGTCTTCCCTTGTCCTGGTAACTGGATTTCTTTATTCTCTCATCTGATTACATAACCATTGTCTTTAACCTCACCCTCCCTCTTATAATCTTTAATTTTGCCTGTCTCTTGTGTCTATGATTTGAGCTCAACTCAGTTCATTGTTACCTAACTTACTAGTCACTCTGCATCTAACGCACATCTCATCTTTATTATGTAACTCCTTTACCATTGTATGCATACATTTATTTTTGTTTTAACTTGAACTGCCTGTGTGAAAACTATATGAGCGCTATTTTCTGAGCACTGTTCACTAGTTGTGGAACTTCCTGTCAACTGACAACATGTAAAATTTGCAAGTATGTTAAAACGTGTCTGTACTTAAATCTCATAATTTATTTAGGCTGTAAGCAGTGGCTGATGAGAAGCCGACGAAATGAACAAAGGATGGTACCATATTATTCAGCACAAACCACACTGTTGTTCATGCTTTATTCAAATTCATCAAGGGGAATAAATGCATGAAACTAGTGAATATTGAATGGTAATTATAAAAGAAATAATATAAACCTGATAATCGCACACACACACACACCTACGTGGTAAATGCAATCTCCTCGTCAGAATAGTATTCTCTCTTAATATTTCTTCTGAAACAGAAATATTTTCCTTCTCTAAATAATTTATACATTTTGTCAATAAATCAATACTATCGCTATCGCGTTTCATTGATTCATACACCTTTAATACATCCATCAGTGTTACTAATACTCCGGGTGTAACAGATTCCCCAATCGTTGAATGATTCATTTCAGTATACTGATCAATAAAATCTCTGCCTATTTCATATTGTTTCAAAGCTTCATCATACTTTTCTGTTTTGCATAAATATTTACCATAAACAATATGCAGTTGACCAGTTTTCAATAAGGCATCTTGATATTCTATCCGATTCATGTTTGTTGACATCAAAGACGGTGAAACACATGAAGTCGGAGCGTCAGCTAAAGACACTGAACCAGTGTTGACGACAACATGCTGATCGACTGTGTTTGCTTCTAACGACTTTGATCCTAAGGATAGGGCTATATGTAGATCACTGATAGCATGTTGGTAATCTTGAAGCTGCATAGAAGTGTGAATGCGTTCGGTTAGCATAATAATAATAATAATAATAACAATAATAATGCAGTTAAACAACAGTCAGGGAAGTAATGATAACCAAGTATAAGCACAATACAAGTGTAGATTTTATCACCATAGGTAACTTTATAGTATTAGGAACACAATATTCAGCGAAGAGAGTCTTTTCAACAACGAATTTATTATCAAGCTGCACAATCGTATATATATGGTTTTATTTTAAGAAATTATATCCGGTGAGGGAATTAGGTGAAAGGTGTGAATACATGAAATAATAATAATAATAGTATGAAATGCAATCAAAATTAAAATATTTGTGATTATGATATTGGTTTACTGTCAAGTGGCAAAGCAAATTAATGTCATATATTGAATAATACATAAGGTGTATAGATTTCGGAAAGGGATACATAATTATAGGATTAGTAGACGAATATAAAATGTTACATAACATGGTGTGAAATTTGATAAGATAGAATTCAATATTGTAAAAATAAAAAACATAAAATGTCAAGTGGGTCAAGTGAAAACGATTCATACTACTATTATTATTTCATGTATTCACACCTTTCACCTAATTCCCTCACTGGATATAATTTCTTTATAAAACCATATATATACGATTGTGCAGCCTGATAATAAATTTGTTGTTGGAAAGAGTCTCTTCTCTGAATATTGTGTTCTTAATGCTATAATGGGGATTATTAAATTATTGAAAAAACTTTGCAGTTACCGTACAGCTTGGAGTAAGGCTTTCTGATGAATGCTGACTAATATACACCTCCTCAACGAGGTTTATCCAACATTTTTCCAGAAATTAGGTGAACGGAAGCAATAGGTGAGCCAGTGAGTGTTATTTGGATGTTCTAATCACAAAATGGGAAGACTCTTCGGTGTTTGTTTTCTTTAGTGTAAAGCAGTCTTCACAGATGGCTTCTATCAGCAACGAAAACTACCCTGAAATCAATCATTTCTTCATAAAATCTCAGATTGAACATCAGTTAACATCTTGTGTGATGCGACATACTACTGATTAATCAATTTGAGTAGCTGCATACAACTCACATTGATCAGATCAAAGTGATCTTAACATTAAGTGTCCGTTTCTACCCTTTGAAGTTGAGATCAACAATGCTGTATCTGGTTATATTCAGGTCGGTGAGCCGGACTAGTTCAAACCACCCTCTTTTTACTGAAGGTGTTCTATCATGTCATGTACTTAGTGAATCCCGGAGGATGAAGTAGGCAGATCAGAGTTTGAACCCAAAAATCAAGAGAAGCATAAGCTTTTCAATTCTTGAGTAGTCACCCTTATCAATATTTCCAGTTTGCAAAATTTCAACTAACTACTGTAGTGAAAGCTGGCTGTAAATCAAAATTGGTGGACAGTAATTTACGTCAATGTATATGTCCCCAATACTGGTCGTGAGAAAAATGAGAACAAAGGCTTTGCGTAGGTGGATACAGTCAGCATTTTAATGGTCTGACATTGAAGAAACAGCCCCAAAGAGATGCAAGGTTAACGTTCAGCGAGAAACAAGCTATCAGAAGACCGTGTTTTTCTGCTAACAATAATCTACAATAATGTACATGAAAATCAATAAATATGTGTTGATATGTGTTGACCTGTTACCTGGCCCTTATCTTCTGTTGTTACACTACTACTTCAGATACACTTTATGATCTACATGGTTGAAACAAACTAGATCTTAATTAAATTATTTTAAAATGTACGCTTTAATGCGTCGACAGTTCAGTAGTGGAATGCTCACCAACTACGCAACAGGTCCTGGTTCGATTCCCATCCACATGTATCTTTATGAATCCCAACTGACTATTGATACCCAGTACTCATAATCCCTATTCATGCCAGTTGTTCAAACCCAATTATCAAGGATAGATATTTCATTTGGCGGGATATGAGCCACAACTAGTGTGTGTATTATTCAAGGCCTGGTAATACTACTCAGTGGGACTCGAGTCTAACACCTGCTGGCTAAAATTTCAATCCTTAAGCCAATCTACTATGTCTCTAAAGCCTGATTTATACTAAAAGTAGTCTAGATATTTGAATCATAGGCTTCTAACAAAAAATAACACATATACATAGGAAAAAGCATCTTCAATTTCTGGGAAGATGTTTGACAACCCTATACAACTTTTGAACATCCTTTATAAAATTACTTACTATTGGCTAATCTTCAAAAGAATGGATACTGAACAAAGAGTACTCTCTTCGAAAACCCCTTCATCATCAGGCCTCTATAGTTATATATACATTATAGTGAATGAACGGATTAGTGTTATGAACAACATTAGTGTCGTTTAAATAACATCAAATCAATTATATTGATAGATTATAGCTAATAGCCCCAACGTAAAATAAGCTGAATGTCACAAAATACATTAGGAAAGATAATATTACAAATTCATGAATATACAGTCTCTACTGAAGGCTGGCCAGGGCAGTAGTAGGGGCTGGACTTGCTTCTTTTGAACACAGAGCACTGGCTGTTTGAGGCGAATTCCAATAGCCTATGGTGTTTGGAGCATGCGGTGCTTCGATGATTTTGGCAATTTATTAGGCCCCCGGTAGATGATGATAGAGAAGGATTCTTCCACTCTGGCTAGCTTTGTGTTCAGTTTGCACCAGATGGTCCAATATCGAACTGTTAATGGTTTTCACTACACCTTTACTTAGCCACAGTGGGATATTTTCTCGAGCACGAAAAATCAACTTCCTAGAGCAACGTCCAATATAAATCACCCCAAAAGCGCAGTTGAATTGGTATATACAATTTGAAGTGGCCAGCTAGTCTAGGTACTTCATCTTTCAGTCGAGGTAGCATCATCGGTCGTGTAGAGAATAATACGTGTAGTTCACGAGCATTAAAAGTTCTTTGAACTGATTTTCTTAATTTCCTCGTAATTATCTCACTTGGTATATCGCCCTTGAAGTGTAGTCGTATATGAAGTGGCTTCTTGTGTACAGATAGTGAGTAGTCCTTTTCCGCTTTCTTTGTCATGTGCTTCTTGATAAATTTGTTGGGATAGCCATTTTCGATCAAAGTATCATATACAATGCTTAATTCATATTCAATTACTTGTTATGAGTATATAGCTCTAACTCTGTGGCTGAGGGTCTTCACTAAATTTCTTTTGTACTGAAGAGGAACGAAGCTGTGAAAATGTGTATACTGTCCTGTCCAAGTACTTTTCTATGCAAATTTCTTTTTATGCTGCCATCTGATTTTCATGTAAGTAGGACATCCAGGTAGGTAATTCAATCTTGGGATTCCTCTTCGCATGTGAATTTCATAGCCGAATGTACTTCATTGAATTTAGTAATTATTGCACTCCTATCGGAACCATTATCACAAAGAATGAAGGTATCATCCATATATCGGCAATAAAATGAGAGCTTACTGATAAGGTTGTTCATAGGTCCATTTTCTACCTTACTTAGAAAGAAATCAGCCAGAATGGGACCCAATGGGGAGCCCAACGCCACCCCGTCCACTTGCCTGTAAAGCGTGCCATCAAACTGCAAGTTTTATATGTGTGGGAGTGAACTGGTAACTTCTGAGGTAATTCGCTATGTGCAATTTACAGATTTCCAGGTGAAAACTTACCCACAGTTTCCATTGGAAACCAAAATCATCCAAATCAAATTTTTTAAAACAAATTTTATGTGATGAATTAATGTTCAATAATAAAATGGCTGCATACCTTAGCATAAATTTCTGCGCGTTCAGTATGAAATCTGGCATTGTTTGGCGCTAATTTTATACACTGATCAATATGATGCAATGCTTTCAACATATCAGCATTGCTCATAGCCATTTCTACGCATCTATGATGCTTTCGAATAGTTGTTGTAAAATATTGTCCTATAGTCATTTTCATATATGAAACTGCAAATTTCTGAGGTAAATCACGTCTTTTAGTTGGACTATTCGTAAGGAATGAGCGTGCAACAGCAGTACTGGCATTCTGTATTTGTTTAACATCTTCTATTAGTCAAATAAAATAATTTAAACAATCAGAACTTAAGAATTACCATTAATTATTGTATTATGTCCTAATTGTTCATGCAATGGATATCCTGGACGATTTTCAACATCAATACAAATCACTTTATTTTCAAGTGTATCCATTGTGAAAAATTAAAATCTGTCTGATTCAATATGTTGCACTATTAAAACAAAAATTTTAACAAAAAAAGGAGTAGGTGAAAATTTAAGGTAGATAAATTTTACCTGAGTACAATTCTTTCTGTGATAGTCATTTATTTTGGAAACCAGTGGTAAATGTTCACTTACATGTGATTAATGCTCACAATCATGAGCATTAAGTTGATTTAAAGAATTACGACGTCTCCAGCATTCCAAAAGGTTTCTTCATTTCTCAAGTAGTTTTTCATTATAAGTTCGATCATGCCTTACTCTTCATTGACCCCCCCTTCTAAGTCAGCCAACCTATCTAGATAAGGAAGGCAACATTTTAAGGATAATTCAAAGACTATTTAGTCCAGTTTTTGATTTTCCCGTCGAGTGATTAGAGTGAAGTGCTCAGTCTCAGGTTGACATGTCGGCTTCTTGTCCAGATATTTCGAAGATGTCTGGGCATGTAATTAGAATTTTAATTGGTGGATGGTGACTAGTAGTGGAATCCAGCCAAGATGCTCATTTTGTCCTATTTGGGACTCGTTAACTGGATATACCTGCATTCCCAGTGAGTGATAATGTTCCAACCGAGGCTTGAATCCAGCACTTGAGAAACCGGCATATCAACCTGGACTGAGCACTTCAGTTCAATCACTCGACGGGAAAATCAAAAATTGGACTAAGTAGTCTTTCATTATACTTAAAATGTTGCCTTCCTTATCTAGACAGGTTGGCTGACTTAGGAGCGGGTCAATAAAGAGTAAGGCATAATCAACCGAAATATGGTATCAAATCCATGAACCATGCATTCTTCATGTCAATCTAATAGATAAATGCGCAAAGCATTAACTGAAGTCATATTTTGCCTACAGTTGCATTCTTTTCGGGCATACCAGAGAGATTTGGGTAAGCACTGCAATATTTCATTGTCATGTCAAGATAAGAAACCATTAAAAATATCACAAGTCATTTCTAACACTTAACACAATACTTTTTAATATATCTCTTCCAACATACTTTAGAACGAAGTGCTGGATGGAGTAATGTAATAGAATAGGAAATGATGCATGTACATGACCACATATGCATTTACACATTACATCTAAGGTGTGGAAAAATCTGAAGTTGATTTATGAAAATAATGGTACCAGAGATTTATTTTTTCATTATTTTGACTATGGCTTTATCCCACACCATGTTTTTATACAGTTATGGAATTTTCGGCATGTGATATCGGTAGCCCAAATTTAGCAGGCCGACAGGGACAGAACCCCAGACCATGTGCATGGTCGGCGAAAGTCCTATCCGCTGTGCCACCGGCGCACAATAGTTGCAATCCACTTGATAAACATTTAGGCATATATAGGATGGCAGTTTCACCACTTAGAGAAGCACCGGGACGATTAGATCGAAAATCGATGCCACACCAACTGTCTTCTAATCATTAAACAAAACTAAATGTATTACAAGATTCTGTTAAGATGTTTCACAGACTTAAAAGTAACGAATCGAGAAAGAACACTATATTGATATGGAATGAGTGAAGCCTGCGGACTTTCCAAGACAGAAAACATAAAAATGCAGAAAATCTTGAAAACACGTCAGTTTACTTGGTGTGGTTTACGCGAAATAAACTCAGCTGTCGTTTAGGAGAAAGTTAAGCTAACGATATATCTATAACGTTGACTAAGATGACAAAATCAGGCTAAAATCATCAAACAAAGTAAAGTGATTTATATAATCACATTTTCGATTGATTTTGCTCCAGTTAAATTCAAAAATTATGGGAATAGGGAAGTCGCCATATTCTCTGGCACGCAACTTAGATGAGTGCTTTGTCTAAATGAGTTAAATAACGTTACCGCGCTAGGCTGAGAGAAAGGGACGGTGGATCAATAAGGAGTGCCATAATTGAACATATATTCAACACAGGTTACTCAATATGCAAAGAGAATTCATTCAAAGTCATCTACAAAGCCAAAAGAAGCCTCCCGAAAACGGTAAGCTTTGTATACTTCGCACTGCGAAGGCCTTATCGATCCGGACAAAAAACCTTGATTTATGCACACAGAAGAAACTTGTCCATCCACTCCTTCTACCTTGGGCATAATTCTAAGTTCTAGTACTTTGTTAATAACGTTTGTTTTGTCTCGTTTTTTGAATTTTGTGTGACATCTAAGTAACATCTTCTTAACCAACCCTTTATTTACTCTTTCTACCTATTACACAATTTTTTCGGACACTTGTCTCCATTAACGTCCTATTTCGTATTACTCAACTCTTGTCAATACTTATCGATCTTCATCCCTCCAGTTACAACTTTGATTATTCATCACATTTTAGAAACATTTTGATGACGTAAACAATAATCATAACCAATTTTTATCTATGTTTGACAATCCTAATGTGCACACATAAACAAATTACTTATACATATATATATATATATATATATGATTCTACAGCTAGGTGAATAAATTCGCCAAAATGGGACTCTTCGCTGAACTTTTCTGATCTTACAAGCAGTTTAGGTGCGTACATGCAATGGACCCTTCAGTTACTGAAATCATAGACTCCATATGTGTCATTTCGCAGTAGGCCATACTAAGCATCTACTGGTTGGCACCTACCGATCACCCACATGTGGAGCAGAGCACAACCAGCTACTGGTCATCACCATAACAGTGATACGGGACTTTGGCCGTGACCAAAACACCATAGCTGGAGACTTCAATGTCACATCGCTGAAGCTTGGCTCGGAGTATGATCGAGGAAAATTAGGTTGAACTCAGCTACAAATCATTAGAAATGCAGGACTGACTTAGAATTATGGAGACAACACTAGGTGGGGCCCTAGTGGAAAAACATCAGGACTAGACTATATCCTAAGTGGTGACCAGTAGCTGGTGGAAAACGTTCAGAACATGACCCTTCTAGGAATTAGTGACCACGCAATAACAAGTTTTGATCTTGTTCTTCGTGGGCGCTTAAAGTGGGACGCTATGCGACAATATCTGTGCTGATTATGCCAAAATGTGAAGGCTTTTGTCCGACACAGAACTGCCCATAGACTAGGAGGAGTTATCAGTGGACGAACACTCATGAGTAGTGAAAGAGATTATTTGACGCAGCAATCTCAAAGACCATTTCTCTAGCGACGATACAGCTGCAGAAAAGATCCTCGTGCCTGAAGAGAGGTACACAACGTAGTCTGCAAGCAGAGTGGTAGGCTAGGTTTACGCGGCATATATCCAAGTGTCAGATCGATAACGATACATACCTACGCAATACAAGAGTTGGAGTGACAGGAAGTGATTTCAGCCGAACACGGCCAATTAACTCCTGAAGAACTCCAAAAGATTGTGGTGATTCACGTGAGAGAGAAAACGTACCAATCAGGGGACATGCGCCCTAATAGATTCAAACGGTTAGTATCTCATCAGTTTGGGAGTGGCAGAAACATTCAATTCAGCCTTTGCCCGACAGCTAAACAGCAGTGCGGGTATTACTCTCGATAAGTCAAAAGAATGAAAACCTCGTGTTATCACTCCTGAGCTCTTTCTAAGGTTGTATAAAACAAAGTGAAGTGAATAATATCACTGCATTTCTACTGCTTTGAAGAGACGCGAACTTTTGGAAAATGTCCAAAGACGGGCGACAAAGAGTAACGAGTTCCGAAACAAACCGTTTGATGAATGGTTAAAGAAATTAGGTCTTATCACAGTTAACTGCAGTCGGCTTAGGAGGGACTTAATTTCTGCCCATGAGATTACAAGTGACCAGAATCACCCAACCAAAGGTATTCTGCAATTAAGTACGTCTTAGCACTGTTGTGGCAATCCACGAAGGATAGCTCACCAGAGAGCAAGGGCTCGAGTGCGCTTCCATTTCATTTCACTTCGACTTTGTCGTCCCTGTAACTCTCTACAAGCAGGTATGGCTTCTGCACCTTCCATGGAAAGCTTTAAGCTGTAACTGAACAATCACGCAGCGACATAAGGGTTGCATCTAAACGGCCATTCCTCTTAATACTCACACACTATCAATGGATGTACATGTAACTCGTCATTTTGCTTCTGCTCATTCTCCCTTGTCTTACCCTCCTGACTACTTCAAGTACTAATTCCCCTAAACTGGTACTATTATTACTGAAATTAGATAAATTTTGGATTTCAGTAGCTGTCTTGTTTTGCATTTTTGTTTATTTTATTTTCCTTTTTAAGTCTGCATTATCTACACTAATGACACCTGTCACTATTACTGTTATCACTCGTTTAGACCATGGCGGACGACTAACGAATGAAAGGATCAACTCCATTAATACTGGCAAAAAAGTCATCACACTGCATTCTACAAACAACACATAGTTAATCTCAGAACCACTCCTTTGGAGTCAACTAAAGCTACGACAGTCGAGTGGCAGGGCAAACTACGCAAAAGTTTACCGAAGGCCAGGGATCCTCACATCATAATCAAGAAGCAAGCAAAAAGAAATCAAATTGGTTTACATTAAATTGACTCATTAATCTAACGAACTCATAAAATCTTCCTTTCTCTCTTCGTCTGATTTGTTTGTAGGTACGTAGTATAGGATAATTGTAACTCTCCTTTTTTGAATTGAACGTTGTTGTCATAATTCTGCAAGTGATTAGCTCCCATTGCATTAGAGCATTGGCTGTATGGATGACATCATGACAGCCACTCAGTGCCTTCGTGTGCTTGAGGTTTTTTTGAATACAGCTTGATTCCACACTGTATTTTTCGTACATGTACGGAATTTTCAGCATGTGATATCGGTAGCCCAAATTTTGCAGGCCGACCATAGATATTAGGTGTGCGTCGGCAGGGGACCGAACTTCGGACCATTTGCATGTTCTGCAAGAGTCCTAACCACCGTCGTCAGGGTGACCGGAACAGATTACTGACTCATCATTCGCCATTCATGGCAGTCAATACGCATTCCATATGCTCTCGCAGATTCCGAGTACTTTTACACCATACATTATTATTTCTTTGATTACCTGAGTGGCCTTCCCAACGTCATATATAGTACGTACATTCCACGTCCCCATTCTTATTCCTACTTTTACGAGAGAACATGCAACATCTGACTGGCTTCCCAAAGGCTCTCACCAGCTCACGTCACTTCATCCCTGTGACTACAGTGGCAAACAAGTTGGTTTCTTATATTTTTGTATTTTTAAAAGTTTTCTTGTGTGCTGAAGTTCCTGAGCAGTTTGATAGATTATTCCAAAAGCCCCTTCAAGATGTTCACG